AGTGCTGCAGAGCTACCTTGCTGGGTCATATTGTTAAGAAGTGAACCAATCAACTCTGGCCACTGCTTCTTGGGAATCTCTATTGAAGCAATTTTAGCTATCACCTGTGCAGAAGTGTGTCCTGCCTCAGAAACAGATGAACCAAGAGTGCTCAGGAGCAAGTCTTTTATCTGAGATTTGATAGAAATGTCAGTTCCAAGCCACTGTTGAACAAGATGATCCTTTCTCGCAGCATCTTTTGCATCTAAAGAGTTTTTAAGCAAAATACCAGCCAATCTACGGGATTCAGCTGGTTTGTTATTGTTTGCAAGCTCAAGTGATAAGGACAGAAGAAACTGGGGCAGATTCTGCTCTTGGAACTGCCTGAGACTAGCCTCTGCTTCAGACCGGATTCTCGCATCTGCTGACTGGGCAGCCAACAGGAATTGAGTAATATCCATAGCCATATTTTCACTGCTGCAATAAAGAGTACTTAAAGTTAAATTAAAACTCATTAACAAAAAGAAACTACTAAAGAAGACAACAAATTTTCTGCCACAGCCCTTAAGGAACAAATAGCCATGAGAAAGTGCTTAACACAATGCTTGCGAAACTTACGTCTTGCATGACAGATATAATAATAAAGAAATGCAAGTTACAAATAAACATCCACTCTGAAATTGGCAAAGCAAGAAATCTGTTAACGGAGTAAAATCTATCAAATCAAATAAAACAGGTTCATCCTCAATTCACCAGTTCAAGGACCCAGGAAAGATGTGAATTCCATTTTAGAAGAACGTTTATATTCCAGAAAATAATATTAAAGAATTACTCAAAAATTAATAGCCGTAGACCAAAATTATGATACACAAAATTGTGTGTGTGAGTGGGTGCGGTGGGGGAGAGAGGAAGAAAACCACAAAAACAAAACATATCCTGAGGTTTTAGATCCCATATGCTTTACTGACTATTGTCACAATTTTGAGTGTTCCAAGTACATGCAGCGATGAAGTTGAATCCTGTGCTTTTTCCTTGTTCACTTGAGTATCTGACGGTGAAAGTGAGAAAATGAAGCAACGGATATACTACGCTTAATTTTCTGTACCAGAAGTACTAAATGGTTTTTTCGACAAATACAATCCAACCGACATTAACAACCAAAATAAAGTTCAACATTATTAATTCCCTCGCAAACCTCTCTTATACAAGTGGATAATCTCACTTCAAATATAAGATTCAAAAATCAATTGGAAATTTAAGTAAAAAAAAAAAACAGCGAGAGAATGTCAGCTAGAGAGGGGATACACCAAAAGCAAGTTCTTAAACCCCCCTAAAAAAACCCCAGAAATCACCAAACCAAAAAGAGAAATGATAACAAACTAGTGAAAGATACATTTATAACCGAGACCTGCAGATTCAAACAGACAACAAGGAGTCAAAGAGACACGAATCCCAATGAATCCCAGAGATCCACCGGAAATCATCAAATGTAAAACCCTAACGCAGGGAAATGACGAGGAAACAAGCAAAAACGCTAGATCTACACATAGAACAGCAATCGAAAAACTTTAATACGAACTATGAGCAGAAAATACCTGAAATCGTTACCCGATTAATCTGAGAAACTCAAAACCCAACCGAGCAAAAAGCTAGGGGTTCTCTCTTCCAGAAATGAGAGTTTCACTAAAACTCTATAGTGCTCTCTGTATGTCTAGTCTTGTTCTTGCCGTTGCTCGAGCGAAGCACAGCAAAGACGATAAAGAAGGAATTTGAAAGGCTTAGAATAAAATGAATTGCTGGGGATTTATAATTCGAATACTGAGAAGAAGCGGGACAGGAAGTGCGAAAACACCAACGGGCAGGAGTTTTGTGGCTGCCCGAGCTGCCCTTTATAACAGAGCCCCAAAACCCTAGACTTTTGAAACCTCCCACGTGTGAGTTTTTGAGACGTGTGAGATTTAACACGTATTAAATTTTAATTTTTTTTTTTTTTTTTTTTTTTTTGTTTCCTGCTTGTGAAGGTTAAAAGGAAATTTATGCTGGAAAATTAATTGGATCATAATAATGTAATGGTTTAGTGGACAAATTAAATAAAAAAAATGTTCAAAGGGCCCTAATGACTTTGGTTAAGAAAATAAATGATGAATTATTTGTCAAGTATACTTATTGTAGAAAGATTAGTGAACACTTACCATTGGCTTTGGTCCTAAATCACAATGAGCTTTAATGAAATTTCCTTTATGATTTTGATTTTGAACCTAAAGAATAAACCAAATAATACCTTGGGTTCTATGTACCTATATGAAGGTAGAACTTTTTTTTTTTTTTTTTACGGAAACTAAATAATTATGAATTCTAAAATTTATTTAAATTTTTATGGCGAGTTTACCGTTTCAAAAATAAAGAAAATTAGTACAACTTAATTATTTGATAAGTAATAAAAGTTAAAAACGAACTATTCTAGAAACAATTAGGTGGCAAAAGCGAGAAAATCTTGTGCAATAATTGAATTTTGTTATGAAGGTGAAGATATTCCTGTAAATGAAAATTGAGAAATCAGATATTTACTAAAATTAAAGATAGAGAATAATATGGCAAAAAATCAACAATTTTCAAAACAATTTTTTTTTTAATATTCTCATCTTTAGTAAAAAAAGTTGTCGCGTATTTTATAGAAGACAATGAATAAATAGAAAGATATATATATATAAAGTTTTTTTTTACATTACTAGGAAAAGACAATAAATACTTATCATAATTTAGTTTGAACCAAAAATTAGACCGAATTTATTCTTTATTTTGACTTTGTGAAGAATTTCGTTGAAGCACGACTCAGTCCAAGCACAAAATAATAACTTTATATTTAGTGTTAGTTCAAGTGTTAGCTTTAAGGCTTTTTTTTCAAATTCTAAAATAAAAAGATTTACAATATATGTCTAATTATTATCTTTAAATATTATTTTATATTTTTTAGAAGAACTTTAAGTGAAATTAAAATTAAAACATATATATATGTGAATGTCCAACAATCTTTTATATCAACCCTATCTTCAATCTAAAATTTTATATTTTTAAATTTAATTTGATAAAATATAATTTAATTCTACACATCTTTAATTATTCTTTTGTGTTCCCATTCATCTCTACTATAAATGAGTAGCGCTATTTTTCTTCTGCTTTTACAATGTTTACATATTAATAGCAAGACAAATATCATTACTATTCCTAAATGTTAAGAGAACCAAAAATAAAAAGAATTCATTTTATATATGAAAAAACATGCATATTTAGTTTTGGGCCACATATTTTAGAAGCTTATATATTATTCAAAATTATTTAGATTAGCACATGTAGTATTTTTTTCATTGTAATAGAACTTGTGTTCTCGAATTTTTTCTAGATTAGCATTTTTCACTAATGGTTTGTTTGACACTATTAAACGGATGTCTGCGTGCACAATAACATAATCATGTGGTCATCAAATTTTAAAGAGATATATACTCCCCAAGTCACTATACAATTTGAATCATTCACATAAACTTGTATATCATTTTTTTTTGTTGAAATATAACTTGTATTTTCAATATTTTTCTAAACAAATTTTTATCACTAACGACCTATATAAAAATATTATATAAATATCGACCCAAGCAAAGATGTAAACATGTGGACATGAAATTTTAGTTTAGTTTGTTAACCTAACATATGTGTTCGTCACGCTAACCAACAACTTCACATGTATATATATATATATATATATTTTTTTTAATGTAAAATATATTCATTTATATTTTTATAGTATTTAAGATTAAATATAAATAATAATATAATAACACTAAAGTATATGCCTTACTAAGGAAAAAAAATGACCACTATTATATCTTTATCCTCTCACCTAGCAAATGGTGGTGGCCATATGAAGAAACTAATTTGGAAGTAAGAGTTGTAAGACTTGCCCATATTTGACTTATTTGATTTGTCTGAACCTAACTTGATATGATTTTTTTTCTCAAAAAAATTATGTATAGGCCAATGCAAGTATGGGTTGGCCAAAAATAATGGTCGTGGCATGGTAGATTTGATTGGACATTCTCAAACCTGTTCAAATTGGACCTTCATTTTATGTATCAAATATTTTTTAATAATGTAATATTTACATATATACAAATATATATTATAAAAAACCTAAATTCTAATTTTTTTCTTCATAAAAAGTCACAACCTAGTCTTTTCTCACTTTAACAACGATTTTAACTAGGTTGAAATAAGTCGTATTCCCAAATAGGAGAAGGTTATCTGTAAAAAGTAAATGAGTAATATAAGGGGCATGAGGGCGAAGTTTTAAACCTTGGATGATATTATATGTTTTAGCATGAGTATGCATAAGGGATAGGGCATCTATACAGAGAATAAAAAGGTCAGGAGATAAAGGGTCTCCTTACTGAAGGCCTTGCTTTGGGGGTGGTCCTCAGTTAGGGAGACCATTAATGACATATTGATACAAATAACGTAACAATGCAACAACAGTTACACAATATAGGAGGATAACCTAATTAATTATAAGACTTTTGTAAGGAAGCCCCACTCTATTTGATCACAGGTACAATACATGTCACACTTTATTAAAAACCATCATTTTTATCCTTTTTTTCCCTCATGGAGTGTGGTAATTCTCGTATTATCAAGGAGTTCTTTGATATATGTCTAAACTGCTTACTACTAAGGTGATAGGAGATGATTTATTATAGGAGGAAGTTGATTGGTTAGGTGTTAACAATAATTTTATAGCTTATGTTACAAAGTAATGTATGATGATAGTTTTAAGACCTTCTAAGGGGACTAGTTTTGGGAACAAACACAATAATGGTTTGATCAAATTCCTTTTTAATATTTTGAAATGAAAAAAAAATTGTACATAAGCTACAAGGTTGGTTCGAATTAACTTCTATTAGTGTTTATAGAATAAATAGGGGAAATCATTAGGTTTTGGTGCCTTATTTGAGCCTGTGCTTAAGAGAACTTTATGAATTTTTGCTTCTTATGGAATGACACCAAGATTATCATTGATCATTTGGGTAATATAAGGAAGATAGAGTGAGAGAAGTTGGACAGTCCATAAGGGAGAAGTTTGATAAGTGTGATGGTAATGGTCCCTAAATAATGCCCTAATGGCTTATGGATTAATGAGTTTAGTCTCAATATCTTTGGGAATAGAAGTTATATAATTTTTTTCATTTCTTAATGGTGGTTTTAAGGTGAAGGTAACGAGTGTTCCTTTCGATAACACCATGCCACCATTGTGCTTAATTTATATTTGGAAAACCCTAATCATCCGAGCCTTAAG